GACGTGAGAATATAGCAACCCAATCTCTTCATTTCTTTGTTTGGAAAAATCTCTTTGTTGTATCTTTTTAGTTGTGACTATTGTTTTAGATATTATGTTCTACAGGTAGGAGAACTACTCCTAAGCTAAGAAATATTCGGGATAAAAGTCTTGAATGATCAAAACCCTTAATTTCTGGATATTTTAATTGATCACATCCTTTTAATTGATCCAACAGATGAAAAGAAAACAAAATGAGCCAAGAAGGGGATCCTGAGGATTTCAGAACTCTGTCTTGACAAGCAACCTAAAAACCTTTAGTACGGCAGGGAGGGATCACACGTCCAAACCCTCCTTCTAACCTCACAAGGTCATCTGAGAACTGACTCTCTCTGTCCTCTCCCCCAAGAGACTAAGATGATGGGGAGGGGTCCTCTTGGTTGTTCAAAGAGGCACTGAAACAAGTATCCTTCATGGAAGGGAGTGGGGTTAGTATTTCATTGTCATCTCAGTTGAAATCAGTACTATCCTCTTAGTGCTTTTAATGTATTATATGACACTTCCAATTTTCTCTCATATCTAAATTCCATTGCTGAGGGTGCACCTTCAGCATTTTATTCAGAAATAGGCCAGAGCTGAAGGAAGGTGGAAATTAATTTATAGTGGAAGTTTTTTTTTCCTTAGTGTTGAGGTTTATTGTAATTTCTCTTGATCTAAAGTGGAATCGCAAGTTTTATCAAATATTCATTTTTTAATGTTTGAAATACGTAAACTGTTTTCTAGGAGGAAAGCATTTTCAACAGATTAATAAATCCTCTAGTGTAGAGACTAAAGTGATTATTCAGGTATTTCTATCTAAATCATAAGTAGGACACTAAATTCATAGCACTATTAGTGGCTAAATTTAACTTGATTCCAACAACATTTCATAAAAGAAAGCTTTTAGTTAGTAGTAGTTTTTTTCAATTAAAAGAAAAAAGTAAATTTAATTGATTTCAATGAGAGAAATGTCATCCAATATCTAGAAAATAATTGCCCAAGTTATTTCATATGACTGTGTCATTGAATTATGTCATACACCACTGGGTTTTTAATGAGAAGAAAGAAATTATGGTCTAATTTCTTCCTGACCAATGAAATTCTGACCCTAGTAGAAAAAATTTGTGTTGAGAGGAAGGGAGCAACTGGGTCGGTGGCTCCAGCTCTCAGCAAGAGTGAGATCTTGTCTTTACAAAAAAAGAGAAAAATTAGCAGGGTGTGGCATGGCGTGCCTGTAGTTCCAGCTACTAGGGAGGCTGACTCAAGAGGATCGCTTGTGGCTGGGCCTGGTGGCTCACGCCTGTAATCCTAGCACTCTGGGAGGCCGAGGCAGGTGGATCACTTTGAACCAGCCTAAGCAAAAGAAAGATCCCATCTCTATTAAAAATAGAAAAACTGAAGCAAGAGGATAGCTTGAGCCTGAGTTGGAGGTTGCTGTGAGCTATGATGGCCATGGCACTCTACCCAGACAACAGCTTGAGACTCTGTCTCAAAAAAAAAAAAAAAGTATCAGTTGAGTCCAGGAGTTTGGGGTTGCAGTGAGCCATGAGAACACCACTGTGTTCTACCTATGGTGACAGAGTGAGACCCTGTCTCAAAAAGAAGGGACCTACATTAATGATTTAGCCTGGCACGGTGGCTCACACCTGTAATCCCAGCACTTACAGGAGGCTGAAGTGGGTGGATTGCCTGAGCTCACAGGTTCGAGACCAGCCTGAGCAAAAGCAAGATTCCCGTCTCTAAAAAACAGGTGAACGTTGTGCTGGGCGCCTGTAGTCCCCGCTACTTGTGAGGCTGAGGCAAGAGAATCACTTGAGCCCAAGAGTTGGAGGTTGCTGTGAGCTAAGACACCCTGGCAGGCTACTGAGGATGACGCTGTCTAAAAAAAAAAAATTTAAGTAGCTATGTTTTATAGTAGTAATATGTTCTAGGTAACCCATTCTATACAGAGTCAGATCTAGCAATAAAACATTGTATTGCTGCTGTTCTTTTATGTTTATATAATTAATAATACAAATAAAGGGCATTTTTATTCTTTATGAGTGCTTGTATACCATCTCTTCCTAGGGCTGATATTCTTTTATCATGTTGGAAGAAATCATTTTAGGCGACTAAAGCTTTCATTGCGGCGGTAGGGTCTGTATTTTCTATTATGTCTGTCGGGCATCTGGAAGCCACATTTCAGTATGAATGTCTCTGCCCTGGACTCAGTGTTTAATGTTTTCGTACCTTTTCCACCCATGACCCAGGTTGTTAACCCAGGTAAAACTCTGTAGAATAACTACTGCCTTCACTTTCACCCACCTCCTCAAATTCATCTCACCAGAATGACTGGGGAGACACCAATGAAGTGATTCCTGGGTTTTGTGAAACGTGCACATGGTGACGAAGAACCTAAACATTGACTGTAAACATAGCCTTTAAAAGGCGAAAGATTTACACGATCTGCAGAGAAACCAGAGTATTAAACATAGCCTTTAGAATATACTAGTCTGTGACCCAGGAAGGACCAGTGATTTAAAGATCAATGTGATAACTGCTGCTGATGTTCAGAATCACTTAAATGGCCACGTGGATCCTTCTGACTCCATTTAAAATACAAGCCTGACACATGGTGGTAGAGGGCCTGTGTTGAGATCATTACTAACATTCAAAGCTGAACAATTTTGTAAAATAAAGCAGTAAGCTTAAGGTTAAACTGAGAAGGACTCTGAATTTATGTGTCTGTACAACGAGGTGTATAAATACTATGTATTAGGGCAGTTTTAGGGATATGGCTATGCCCCTTATTATTTGAATGGAACAAGTAACAGTGGGATTTTCAGACTGGGTTAGCAGGCTCCCACATCATACTGTGGAAAGATACTCAAAATCATATTGCAGGCCTGGCGCAGTGGCTCACGCCTGTAATCCTAGCACTCTGGGAGGCCGAGGCAGGTGAATGGCCGGGGCTCACAGGTTCAAGACCAGTCTGAAGAAGAACAAGACCCCATCTCTAAAAAACACCCAGGCATTGTGGCAGGCAACTGCAGTCCCAGCTACTCAGGAGGCTGAGGCAAGAGAACCACTCGAGCCCAAGAGTTTGAGTTTGCAGTGAGTTATGACACCATGGTACTCTACCAAGGGCAACAAAAAAAGATTCTATCTCAAAAAAAAAAATCATATTGCATACTTAATCTTCTAGAATTAGTTCATTGCAAAGACTGTATGTCTGGCAATAGAATATGAAACAGTGGGATCTCAACCACATGTTAGATAAGCATGAGAGGTTGGGGGTATCAATTCCAAAAACGAGAAGAACTATGTGGGGAAGTACATGGTAAATTGTACTTTGCGCTGCATATGATAATACTGGTAATAACTCACAGTCTTGGGTAAAATGCAAGCTTATTTGGGGGTCATATTCTAAAGTGGGCCTAAGTTCCTGTTATGGACTGGTCAGTTCTCAAAGTGTGTGTAACAATCAAGTCGGTACTCCCCATGCAGGTGAGATAAGCACCCTGGCATGTTCGCTATTCCCGTGTCAGGGAGGGGATGCTTTGGCATCTTGGGGAGACTTGCCTGGAAGCATCTGTGTGCTGATGCCTCAGTGGGGAGCCCTGATGATGTTAAGGCTTGCCTTGTGGTCCCCTTTCTCTAGGGAACCTGGATGACGACGGATTACCGCATGGGCTCTGCACGGTCACCTACTCCTCCACAGACAGATTTGAGGGCAACTTTGTTCATGGAGAAAAGAACGGCCGGGGGAAGTTCTTCTTCTTTGATGGCAGGTAGCACTCAGAGTTTTGTTTTGTTCTTTTGTGGGTCCCAGATTATTTCATGTGAAGGAATGATGCATGTGTAAGAATTTAAGCAGAAGTTGTTGTACAACTTGTATAATACAAAAGGTAAAATCAACCCAACCTACATGCACTGCCTTGGTACTTGGGAAGTCACGCCATGGCTGTAGGAAAGCCAGCCTAAGGCTAAGCTCCAGTCATCACTGTCTCCCTGGGTGTGCTCGTCCAAGAGATACTCTGCCTTGCCCCAACTTGTGTAAGTGAATTACCTGCTCACCCAGTTCTCTGGTGGATTTCACCTGTTCATTCAGCTAATGCATTTCAATGAAGTCACACAGAGGGGATAGTTTTTGTCAGTGTCCAGTTTGCACAGTTTCAGTAGTGTCTGGTTCATGCTTTTTTCCAAGTGTAACACACACCCCACTACACTCAGCCGGATCCCCCAGTCAGCACCATGTGGTTTCTTCACTTCCTGAAGGACTATTCAGCCACCTTGCTGGTTTTTCAGCTTCATCAGTTTCTCAGCATGTTCCCTCTTCCCATGAGATTGGTAAAGTAAGTGCAGGAGAACCTCCATAACGACAACCTCCTTACAGTGACCACCTCTCTGAGTTGACCTAGTTTTCCTAGACCAGACACGCACCTCGTGTACCTGTCAGTATAGTAGGCCTAGTTCCTAATGCTGACCACCTCCGATATCCAGATGAATTTGTTATAGTCCCTCGGGTTGTTAACTTACAGAGTAGTTATACTGTATTTGGCCAAAAGTTCTTCAAAGCCTCGTTGTCTCTGTCTAGGGAGTAACTCATGGGCAGGTAGATGTAGGAGGGTAGTATTCTAGATTCACATATTTTTAATGCTTGTCTTTGGGATAGGTGGTCTGTTTTTTGAGACAGGGTCTCACTCTGTCACCCAGGTTTGAGTGACAGCTCACTGCCGCCCTAAACTCGTGGGCTCATGTGATCCTCCCTCTTTAGCCTCTCAAATAGCTGAAACTATAGCCGTATGCCCCTATATTTGGCTAATTAAAAAATATTTTTATTTTTAGAGATGAGATCTCACTATGTTGCCCTGGCTGGTCTCAAGCTGCTGGCTAGGAGCCTTGGCCTCCTAAAGTGCTGGGATTATAGGCTTGACCCGCCATAGCTGGTCTTTTTTGTGTGACACTGTAACACTGAGGTCAGGACTAGTATCTTCCACAGTCCACCTTAGTTAAAATATTTTTCATGTTAGGATTGTTTTCACTTTGCTTTTACCTCCTGTGTGAGAATGGTGGGAGGCAGTGGTAGGTAGAAATATCTATAGGGCTTTTTTCTTTCAAGGATAGGATTGCACTGGCCTAGCCTTCCAACAATGACTTTTAAACCATGTCAGCTTCAGAAGCAAGGAGTAACCATGTGAATTTCTCAAGTCTTTAGAGGCACTCAGAGCCATGGAAGAGCCAGCGATTTTCAGGCCAGTTGGGTAATACAGAAATGAACTTGGCTGAAGCAGGTTGTAGGATTCTGCAGGGTATAGTGCCACTTACTAAACTCCTGGCATTGCTAATAAGCCAGCTGAGTCCCAGTATCCCAACCTCTTTAAGATGTTGAAAGTGCTTTTCTCGCTCCTGAGCCCTTTAACCAACCTGTCCAGAGGGAAACTTCTCCTGCCTCATTTCCATGGCAGTTTTTTTTTTATAGCACTCCCTCTAGAAACTGTCACTTTTTACCTCATGCTGTAATTATTCATTTATTCATTCAACAAATACATATTTATGTAAAGATCTCATTTTTCCTTCATCCCCAAGGACAGAGGTTCCTGGAGGGCAGAATCCATGTCAATTATATATTTTATGCATCACAGCACTTTCCCTTAATTTGATACTCAAAAAAAAATAATCCTTGCTGAGTAGGTGTGGAAGCTGAAAGAGAGGATAGAATTCAGAGCCCCCACTGCCCCCCACATACTTATGCTTTAAACCTTGTCGTTTGATCATGATAGCCAGTAATTGATAGGCTATGTGGGAAAATGGTCTAGCAGATCTGGTTGAATTCGGTGTTGCTTTACAGACCCAATACACTTGAGCTTCTGAACAAGTGTACCAAGAACAAGTTACATGTCTGCCCAGGTCCCCTCAGGCCTAAGAGGTAGGCAAGTCGAGTGGCACCTGAGACTTCCTGAGCACCTACCTTCCTTTGTCAGACTAGTCACTTCTGGCCCTAGGCAGCTTCATCCACTTACCCAGTTGCCTCGTACAAATGCAGCAATTTGCGTGTGTGTCATAACATGAAAAAGCTGAAGGTCACGTTGAAGCATCCAGCCTCATAATTATCTTTAGGCTAGAGATAAATGCATTAACAATTTTTTTTCCATTGGAGGCATGAATTCACTAATTTTTATACCTACCACTCAAACACCTGTAGAGACAGCAGTCAAAGGAGAATCAAAGAATGGGAGCGCTAGTGAAGACCTCAAGAGGTCATGTCAGGTAGTCTTCAGATGGAAGGGGTTCATGCCTTGAGGGGAGAAGACCTGTATCATTACCTTAATTACTCGAGCTGAAGCAGTGTGGAGACAGGATCTCAAAAGGCCGTCATTACCTTTCTTGAGCCCAGTACTGGTCATGCTGTGAGGCATGTGTTAAAGGGATTTGCTGTAAACTCAAGGAGACAGTCTTATGACTGAAAAAAGGCCAGGCAATCTATAAGATGTTTCTAAGTAAGGGGGTTGCTTGTGGAGAAATCAGTTGTTTCTTCATAAAGCAGCCTTTATTTATATTTGTCTATTAATTTTTCTCCCTGCTTCCACCCCTAGTTCTTAGGGTCTGATGTATTGGGTAAAATTAAGTGGCACTCCTTTGCCTTTCCTGTTAGTCAGGAAACTTTCATCTGGAAAAATTGCCCCCAAAGGCTGACAAGGTCATGAAATAACAGGTGAGGGAACAAAAACTTTCTGTTGCAGAAAGCTGTTCGAACCTGTAGTGCTGGTTTATGTCCCCATGGAAGGGTTCATTGGCAGTGGGAGTTTGGAAATAGAGAAGAAAAATCACAAAATGTACTAATAGGAGATTGGGCCTGCTGCATTCTAATCTTATATGAAAACTGAACCCAGGCAGACGCTTTATGAGAAGGATTCAAACAAATATAAACTGCTTTCAGGAAAATTCTGTAATCAGTTTTACCTTTGACACAGAAAATGATAAACCTGAATAAGAATTTCAGATACCCAGATTGCCAGGAGAAATGCCTCTGTTAAATTTTTAACCAATTTCCTAGATAGAAGCAGGATTTTTTTTGAATTGCTAATATAGCAAATGATTGGTAGACTAAAAAAGCCACAAGAGGGGCGGTGCCTGTGGCTCAGTGGGTAGGGTGCCAGCCCCATATACCGAGGGTGGTGGGTTCAAACCCAGGCCCAGCCAAACTGCAACAAAAAAAAGCCGAGCATTGTGGTGGGTGCCTGTAGTCCCAGCTACTCAGGAGGCTGAGGCAGGAGAATCGCCTAAGCCCGGGAGTTGCAGGTTACTGTGAGCTGTGATGCTACGGTACTCTACTGAGGGCAATAAAGTGAAACTCTGTCTCTAAAAAAAAAAAAAAAAAATCATACGAGGTACAGACGTGTAAAAAGTGAAAGTGCTCCATTTTCCATAATCCCCATCCCATAGAAGTAACCACTATCAGCAGAGAATTTGAGCATCTTAATTAAATATATTCAAGATAGCTATCTATTTCTAAGTTTTAATAAGTGTATTTTTTTTTTTTTTTTTTTTTTTTGCAGTTTTTGGCCGGGGCTGGGTTTGAACCCTCCACCTCCAGCATATGGGGCCGGTGCCCTACTCCTTTGAGCCACAGGCGCTGCCCCAATAAGTGTACATATTTGCAGGATACAGTGTGATTTTCTAGACATACGCACATTGTGCAGTGACAAATCAGGGTAATTAGCATATTCATCACCTCAGACCCTTGATACTTCTTTATGGTGACAACATTCAAAATCCTCCTTTTTGAAGTATAGAGTGTATTATTGTTGACTTTACTCACCCGAGTATGCAATAGAACACTAGGACTTATTCCTGTTATCTAACTGTAACTTTATAGCTTCTGACCAAGCTCTCCCATCCTCCCCTTCCCACTCTTCCCAGCCCCCATAACCACTATTCTACCCTCTAAATTCTGTGAGAATAGAATTAAGCTTCCACACAGGGGCCAGATGTGGTGGCTCATGCCTATAATCCTAATACTCTGGGATGGAGGTGAGAGGATCTCTTGAAGTCACGAGTTTGAGACCAGACCGAGCAAGAGTAAGATCCCATTACCACTAAAAATAGAAAAATTAGCCTGGTGTTGTGGTGGGCACTTGTAGCCTCAGCTATTCAGGAGGCTGAGGCAGGAGGATCACTTGAACCCAGGAGTCTGAGGTTGCAGTGAGCTAGGCTGAAACTATGGCCCTCTAGCCTGGGCAACAGCGTGAGACTCTGTCTCAAAAAAACAAACAAAAAGAAAGATTCCACATATGAGGGGGATCATTTGGTGTGTATCCTCCTGTGTTTGGCTTATTTCACTTAACATAGTATCCCCTGGGTCCATTCCTGTTGTTACAAACAACGGAATTTTTTTTATGTTGAATAGTATTCCACTCTGTACCTATATCACATTTTCTTTATCCTTCTGTTAACAGACACTCAGGTTGATTCCCTATCTTGGCTTGTGAACAGTGCTGCAGTAAACAGAGAGCATGTGTCTGTCTCTTCCACATTCTGAATAAATAGCTGTTTCTAAATCAGTTTAAATAGTATTGTTTACCTGTTCTTGGGTCTCAAGAGAAAAGCTAAGTTACTACAACTGGCTTACGTGGTTGGAAACTTAAAGTCAGACCACTCATCTTTTACCAGATGGTTTATCCCACAAATGAGGAATGAATGGAAAAATTAACTCTATTTTTTAAAATTATCTTTTCAAACAGCTGTTATTTTCCATTCCTCCCCCCAGCCCCTTTTTAGGCGGGAAGAA